GAAATTAAAAGTGACAATATCAGATTATCATAACATTTTCGTGTGCGGCGCACGCACCGGTATCTTTTCGCTGCGAAATTAATCATTTCGTGAATTGTATTGTTTCCTGTCATTTCGCGAAAAAGTATAGGAGCGTGTTTTTTAACCGGATGTAGTTTAATTTTCACTAGGCAACAAGATAAATACATAACACTGTGAATGAAGAAGGGGAAACAAAAATAATTAGGTTTGAATTTATCTTTCTTGTTAAATACAAAATCATAGTAAATCATTTTTATATAAATTGCATATAGAATCTATTTCATAGATCTTGTTAAGGAAAAGATTTCAAGAATTATGCGAATTTATGAAATTGTCAGATTGTTCCGTCATGAGCGCGGGTTGTTGCTACCCTGTATCAAGTCATTTGTTTACTTGGCTGTTTCGAAAAAATGAAAACGGGATCATTTTTGATACACTATTTGGTTTTTAAACATTAAAGCAACACTTTATTAAGCCCTAGTACAGATCTAGCGCCTGCTAGTCATAATCAGAATTGATTGTTAAGCAGTAGGCCTGCAGGACAGGGCGGACCGTGAGAAAGAGCAGACCGTACCAGGGCGGACCGTGACTCGAGACTAGGCGGACCTGCAGGATAGCCGTGTAACGGTATTCTGAGGGTCCCAGTTTGAGTCCCGGTCAGGCTGCACATTTTCCTCACCCTGTGACATTTGGTGCCCAACATGGTGCCGTGACTTAAAGGCCCAACTGGACTATAAAAGCCAGCAGATGGCGCTAGGGCAGGTTTCTTATTAATTTTATGCATGCTTCACTTCAGGGACCCTTTTTCAAAGATTTAAGATTAATTACCAAATGCATTTAAACAACACTTGGCATGTATGTAGGCATAGATATTCTTGATATAGATTGACCAAAATTATTCACAATAAAACTTTGTTAAGTGTGTTTCTGGAAAAAAAATACTGGCTGTCAAATTTGAAATTTGAATTTCCATGAGAGGAGCCAACTGATCATTACAGGTCATGAACCTTCAGTAGTAAACAGATGCACGTGGCAGTGTTTATTTCAGAGAGAGAGATTTGTAGCAGACGATATATATTTCAGGGAGGGAGATTTTCAGCAGACGACACATTCTAATGCTGAATACATGATAAGAAAAAAACAATAACTTTTACTGATCTTACTTTATCAAAAAGTATTTATATCCAAACAAATTTTACAATAATCCATTAATCTATGATTTTTTTTGAATTTCAAAGTACTTGATTCAACTTGTATTTAAATGGTTTAAACTTCATGAAAACAGTAAAAGTAACTTCCAGGTATATTTCATTTACACTATATTTTGTTGTAAATATCTTGTAGTCAAAATTACATTTCACAAATGTTTATCATTTGTATAAAATTTTTATATATTAATAGTTTAAAAATATTTTAAATTCCTGTCAAGATCATTTTAGCGGTTTTTCTTAAAAGAAATGTCCCATGTAAGGCACATCCTTTGGATTTGGACATAGTTGTCTGACTTGATGAAAAACAACTGACTTCAAAAATAATATCTGGACAAGATGGCTTGATAATGTCTTTTAATTAATCTGATTAATCTGTGAGTTATATAAAACATCCATTAAACCTCTCCTGTGTAAAATATGCTGTTTTGTTTACATTCTCTCTGCAGGTTAACACTGCATTCTATTTTTTGCTCATGGTTTATAACAGACAGTTTTACATCACTGATTAGTCACACCCACAAATACTCGCTGTTGCCCCTTTAATAAAGCTCTGAGTTTAATTAACATTGCTTTGTAACTCAGTAAAATGCGGGGGGGGGTATATGTCTCAGTTAAAAACTGTTCACTGTAAGCGAAGAAAATATGTAAGCGGCTGGATAGCTCAGTCAGTAGAGCCGCAGAACTGTATTCAGAGGGTCCTAGGTTTGAGTTCTGGTCAAGCTGCACATTTCCCAAACTGTTAAGATCCAATTAAAATCTCATTTTTAAAAGTATATAAAATTAGTTGCTACCTACGTCACCAAAAGCCCTTATGATTTAATAAAAGGCATAAAAATTTTCAATATATAAGCAAAATCTGTCTTTGACTTTATTATGAGTAATTTAGCTGTTGATTAGATACCAATGAATTGATAGTATTCAACCTATAACTGAAGTATTTTGAGTGTTTTCTCATCCGCCATTTTAGTTTATCTGTAATTAGAGTTGTTGTCTTTAAGTTATTTAAATATGATGATTTATCAAAATGGTTATCAGAGATTCACTTTTTATGTGAATCATTGTTACTTCACTTTTTATCAATGATTATTATATTTATTCATCACATTTCTACTGGAAGTGCAATTAAGGACAGCAGACTGTCGCATTTTCTAGCAACAGCAAGTCTGCAATGTGCAGGCACTCTTATTACATATTTTTCATAAGCATCTGGAAATCTATTGATAGCTCAAATATAGAGCCAGTCCTAGATTTTCAAACATGTTACAATTAGACAAGTGTTCTTTTATTGATTTTAATAAGATTTCAATTTAACTTAAACACATACGTTTTATCTAAGAGCGCTACAGCCCTCTCGGACTTTCCACATATTAATATTATCTGCCATTCTAGCTGATTTTATCTTAGGATTTTTAAGTAGAACAGAACATCATTTTACCCATTTCTGCAGAAAGACTAGATAGTCTGTTCAAATTTGTAAGTCTAAATTTTAAAAACAATTATTTTCCAAATGTTCTTGTTTCCTTAAAGCAGCATGCCTCCAGATTCATGTTAAATTTCATGAAGATTTTGATTATGTATTTGACAGTAAAATATTGTGAGGTGAACAAATAAAGTTATTTACATATTGCAATTGGCACTAACAATCCATGCAAATAACCAAGAAGAGGTCAAAATGTGCAAAAAAGCCCTTACTGCGTTAGTAACGAAGTAGAAATATGGTGATGAAATACTGCAAAATCAGTCTTATTAATCCCAAAAAAACATGTAAACTTTAACATTGATCTTAATTGTTTTTACCTTTCTTGAAATATTAGTACATTTTTCTCAATTTTCATTTCCTTGAAATATTTTGGCTCATCTGGAGGCGTGCAGCTTTAAAAAATGCGCTGTAAGTGCATCAAGTATCTATCAATCTATCTATCTATAGATATGGCAGATTAATAATGCTGATAATATTTAAAAAAAATATCTTTTTATTTTAGGCTTGGTAACATCATCAATTAAACATGGCAGCTCTAGCACCACCTAAGCAACCAGGGACATACACATTTGCCAGTCAGCCTCGGGCTGTCCCTCAAAGAAAAAAGTACAGAGACCCTTTAGGACAACAAGATCCGTAAGTCCTTAGATTGAAACATTAAACATGTGTTTATTTATAGATTGAATGCATTAATTGTTGATGAAAATTATGTAATATACATTTGGCACAATGTGTATCGTAACTTTTAGTGTATCACATATGGCTCTTTTAAGAATATCACCTTCTTATGATCTTTAAGTTGAATGCATAGAATAATGAAAATCAAATTAATTATATTTCTTCTAATAAACATAATCATCTTTGTTGTACATGTATATGTTTGTCATTTTTTCTGTCTTCTTTAATTTTATTTTTATGTTATATTTTGTTTTATGTGGATGTAATGTACTACCGGTATTTAGTAAGCAAGTGTGAATCTAATTTGATCTGACTTTATCAAATTGTTTAAAATGAAAAACAAAATTCTAAATTACTAATACATGTAGTTCATAAATGATTCCAGTGGGGTTTTTTTTCCAGTCTTTTGTAAAAGGGTATGAGGGGCCTTATTTTGAAAATTGCACAGTAAAAACACTGGGTTCTACATGTACAATGTTTATGAATTAGGCATAGATATTAAAATGTCATAGTTAAAGCAATGTCTTTATTTATACTATTTCAGTGAAGCCCACAATGCTCCACAATATGGAAACATTATGTATGATAGACGTATAGTCAGAGGTAATACATATGCTCAACATACACTGCCAGCTGTAAGTACCTTTACTTTAATAACATGCCCAGTTTATGTTTGTAACATCTCTTTTCATTGGATACTGAAGTGACTATTTTATCTACTACCTGGAGCAACATGAAATATATCTGTACACGTTTGTTTCTGGCAATAGTAGAAATGTAACAGACTGTGTGTAATTAGACTGATGGGATATAAGTCAACTAGAACAATGTTAAGGCTTTGAACAGTATGAATATTAGATTATGTAGTGTAGCATTAGGGCTATGTCTTTACTTTAATCTGTCACATATAATTTAGTTAGTTTGTAAATTTCAGTAACTGTTATGTAATTAAGGCTTTCCCTGTCACCAAAGTGAAAAGATTTGTCACAGTACAATTGAAAATAATTTCAAACAAAATATATTCATGCAAATATGTTTGTTGGTTACAGCATGCTCAGCCAGATCCCATTGAAATACAAAGACAGCAAGAGAATAGACGACGTGCCATCGCTAGAAAACGTGCGAAGGAACAGCTTCGACCACGATCTCCCGAGCCTGTAGAAGGGCGTAAACATATAGATGTACAAACAGAATTATACCTGGAAGAGTTGAGTGACCGTGTAGAAGAAGCGGATGTAGAAATTCAAACTGATGCATTCCTTGACCGACCTCCATCACCCATGTTTGTTCCTGCTAAGACAGGCAAAGATATTGCAACTCAAATACTGGATGGAGATGTAAGTAAACATGAATTGATAATTCTGATAACCATTATCGATTGATATAAGAAATAAAATTTGATGTGCTTTGTGATAAAAAAATATAAGGTTTATTTTATTTCTAAAATTACATATTTTTAAGATTTTTTTTTATTAGTTCTAAAAATTCCTGTAAATTATACTGCCTTGGTAAAGCATACATTGTTTTCATTCTTCAGCTTTTCGATTTCGATATAGAAGTGAAACCAATTCTCGAGGTTCTTGTTGGTAAAACTGTTGAGCAGTCTTTACTTGAGGTAATGGAGGAGGAAGAACTTGCAAATCTACGATCTCAGCAACGAGCCTTTGAGGAATTGCGCAATGCTGAGTTTGTGGAACAACAGAGATTAGAGGAACAAGAACGTAGACATAGAGAAGAAAAGGTAAATTAAAAAGGAAACCAAATCAGTATTTTGTATATCTCAAGAATTACGGAACATCGGTGGTTCTACTCAGGTGCTCATTCATGCCTGAAATGGAAGGGCGCCCAAGGTCTTCCTCAACAAGTAAATCTGGAACGTTACCATGCAACCTATACTGTTTTAATGTGATGTAAAACCCAATCAAACAAACATCTCAAGAAATTTTCAAATACATCATAGATAGGAGAATTGTTTGAAATCTCCATAGATATGTCTTTGTTGTAGGAAGTATAATGGTTGCAAACAATTCAATTCTTATATACAGAATAACTTTTCTTACAGATTGACTTTAATGAAGGGGGTGCCATTACTTTGTGCATGAATTATAAACTAATTTGATTGTCAGATTGAAGAATGGGAGTTGGAGATTTAAACATTTCAATGAAAAATTAACCATATTGAATCAAATTTCTACAGTTATAATAGATGGAATTATGCCTGAAACGTCTTGTACAAGTACATTATTTCTATTTAAGGAATAACCTAGTAAAACTTACAAGTAAATTGTTTCTAACATAATCTGTGACCTCCCTTTGATAAAAAATTTCATATCCTAAGTATGCCTGTACTTTCTCAGTGAATGTTTGTGAGGAACAGACTTGCCTTTCCTATTTGTACAGTGTGAAACTAGCCTTCACAGTGTTATTGATAACCATAATTTTTCTTCATGCTGTGAGTTTGGACACAAAAAGGAGTGACTTTGTACAAATTACAGAAACAGTCAGTTACAATGTAAATAATGGCTTGATAATTTTTCCAAACTGCCATACATTTGTCTTAAATTGTTCTCCTATTGTGCTCCTATCACATATTTTACTCATATTTCTAACACGACCCCCATTTTTCCCTATTGAACATAGAAGAACCGAAAGTATGTGTTATTATGCAATAAAATCACTGTTGAAGTTCTATATTTAGACATGTAATGTAATCATTATATACATGTGACGTAAGCACTAAAATGTGATGCGCTGAAATAAGTAAGGAAACAAATCAGTCGCAATTTAGCTTAATATCAGGTATGGCAGCATTTATTTGTTAATGTCATGTTAGAATCAAAATAATATATCCAAATCTTAATCAGTGATTTTATGGCTTGATAAAATCATTTTCGTTTGGATGCACATCATTATATCACTCAGGCTACACTCTCGTGATATAATTCCTCGCATCCGAACTCCAAACAGTGATGTTATTGAGAGATAAAATCACAGTTTGGGATATATTATTTCTTAAATAAAGGGTACCTTTTTTCCCCCAAACGTATTAAATATGAATGGGTTTAATTTTTTAAAAAGGAAAAGGAGGATGAGACCAAAAAACAACGTGAGTGTTTTAGGGAAAAAAGGAAAAAAGGGGAAACCCCCAGAGAAGATTGCCGCCAGGGGGTTCGCTCAGAAATTACCCCTTTCAGATTTTTTTACCCACAGTGTTTTGGGAAAACTCTCGGGCAACGGGGGTACTTCATGAAACCTTTTTTGAAAAAAAAGGTTAAATTTCTGGTATTTTATAAACCCAAAAATATTTCTTACCATTTATGAAAAAAAAACCATTCCAAAAAAAAAACCAAATCATTTAGGTGTTTTTCACCAAATAAAAGTTATATACATTATATTAAATATTAAGCTGCAGTTATCAAAAAAGATTGAATGAAAACATATCCAAAAAGAGAAAGAAGCATACAAATTCTTTTAACAAATATAATTTTGTGTCAGTTATAAAACATTTTAGATTTTGTTTTTAGTTATAATATTTTATTATTTAATGAGCCGTCTGTGATATTTATGTCTGACAAACTTCCGAAATATTTTATTACAATTGTGTCATCAGTTTTATATAAAATGCTAAAGTGTTGATTTATGTATACATGTATGTGTGTTTTAACCTGAATAAATATCTATCTATCTATCTAAAATACATTAATATCTGTTATTGATTACGTTTGCAGATATTGAGCAAGGTTTCTTGCCATGGTTAATGGATCGTGTCACAGAACGACTAGAGAAATCAGAACAAGGGCGTATGGTGCTTGACGGTCTGTTGAGAGAAGTGGTCAGCAAACGTAGAGAGTTATACGAGAGATTAGAGCAGTCAAACCAACCAGCTGATGGTGGTGATGATCAAAAACAAGACAGAAAATCTCCACAAGCTGCCCCACAGGTTACCATAGACGCCGCCCCTCCACAACCAGCCCCTGCTTCTACTACAGAGGTAAATTATATTTAGTTATTTACAAGATTTTTTTAAGAACTGAAAATACACATTTAAACTGCTGTAAATTCTAATCTAGCCTTGCTTTCATTTTTAACTGCTTCTAAATTTCCCCATGATTTGGCAAGTGTAATGAAGTATTATTGATGACTGAATTATGAAGAGAAAATGGCCATATGTCAACCTTGTGTGCTATTAACAAATTCAGGCATTTTGCACTAACATTATAAGAGCTGTGTCTTTGTACAAGGTCATTTATCAGTGGTTTTCTTGTTATAAGAGCAGTGTATATCTTAAGTAGTTGAATGTTTGTTGTGGAGAAAATGTAGGTGTGTCGAAATACTTGTATGGGTTAAGAAAAAGAATCAAACACCGGTTGTTGCAGCAGACAATATCTAGTTCTAGGATAACTATTTACTGGAAACTCGTCAGGGCCTTGTTACACCCAGGAACTGTTGCCATGGAGCCAGAAATTCTGGTAGATGTACCGGCAGCAGATACAGGATCCATATTATATGACATCATATACATATATATATATTTCAATGACCTTATTTTCACTGGTAAATAGATTATAATGTATAATAAATGATGACATTTTACAGGCTGAAGAAGAAAAGCCAGCAGAACAAGCCAAAGATGAAGACGATGAACCTCAACAACAAGGAGAGGAAGATGGAGGTGGAGAAGATTAGACCAAATTAATAATTCTTGGACAGTTTAATGAATAATTAGTAAAGATTAAAAAAAACAATATTGAACACATTTAAGATTTACTCAAAGTACGTATGTATCCTTCAATAAACAAGACAAAATTGAACTACCTTCTATTGTGTTTTCTTTTCCTAATGACAAGTGCTATGGTCTTAAAAAAGTTTGTTATGTTGTATTTTGACAATAGTGGTGATATAAGACAAGCTTTAAACATTCTGTACTTACATTGCTGTGGTTACTATTCAAGATTAAGAATGATTTCAAGATCTGGTGCATAATACAAATATACTATAATAGTATTCATTTTCATAAAATTTTGTCTCATTATAAGCTGTAATGTGATATACTTGCAATTTGCTTAAAGGTGCATGTATTTTATAATTATATTTTCCATGCCTGATTTGGTCTATTATTTACCTGCTATAAGGCAACTTTTCTTTTAGAAATTACATGTAGATATTGTCTAGCCAAGTTTCAGCTAATGATAAAAATACATTGAAGTTTTTATTTAAATATATGGCTAATTTTTAAATACATGCTTCTTTAACATGTTGATAGATAATTTTGTACAGACTCCAAGTTTGTTTGGGTTATATAGAATTTACTTCTACTGTAGATATATATATCTTCTTGTTTATCTTGTTATGTTTTTCTCTATGACCTACATTTATCATTATTTATATAGCATAAGGCTTTAAATGTAAAACATATAGTAAATCTGCCATACTCGATGCACATAGTGTGTTCCTTGAGTTCTTTACATTTTGGTAAAATTTTGATTGCTCTTTTCAATTCTAGCCTAATTGTCAAATTGAATTCAACTAAAAAAGTTTACACAAAATTTGAAAGTTAAGAACGAAAAGTTTAAATTTCAGAATAAAAATAAAATTGGTTTAGAAGTGTTTTTTGTTATTATTTTCTTTCCCCTATCACAGATATTTGATTGCCATGCACTTGGTGAAGATTTATCAGCTGTAAAATTGTTATTAGAATAGCAGATTGAGAATTATGGAAATTGATCTCATAGAGCCCTGTTTATAACAAGAGTAAAATATTTTTGTTCTTACCATGTGAAAGTTTTATAATGGATTTGTTGTGCTCTGCTGATCTGTGTCCATTAGTGGATTCACGATGAAAGTACAAAATTTGAGCTAACTGCCAGCGCAATCAGGTTCATACAGTACCACAGGAAATCAAAGCACTGAATGTACTGATGGGGAGGCTATGAGAGAATGTTTCAGACTTATAGTTTCTTTTCTTTTTGCTTAAAATATGCTACCAAAATAAAAAGATATGCACATTGCGCTATTTATCCTTAATGTTGTGTTCAACCATTCATATATATGGTTAATGTGGTTGACTATTCATTTATTTTGTTAATATTCCAGAACATGTCATTGAGGTCTACATTTGGACTGTTAATCATGCAAATTTTGAAAAACCTAATAATAAATGACTTACCAGCAAGTATGACGACTGTTCATTATCAGATAACAATAACATTTTACAACTGACGGTTCCTTATCAAAATATTCTAGGATTGTTCATCATAAATATACTTTATGTCATTTTAATATTATTGAATGATAATAACAACTGCAAGTGATGCAACATTTTTATTGAACATAAAAATTATACACGTTTAGATGTACCACAATTGAGATCAATAAGATACTGTCTTGTGATGAGTATTAATATTCATGCTCTACGGACAAAAGGTTGTCTTCTCCAGAAGCAAATCTCGAATAAAATCACGTTTCAGAAAATTATTCCAATTTCATTACTGACGGCGTCGGATAATATTAAAGCTAAATATTTCTTGAAAAAATACATATCTGCAAAGCTTATTCAAAACTGAATCAACCTAAGTGAAAAATGATCAGGAAGTTATATTCTTTTTTTACCGCCAACACTCAACCAACTTATGGTAGTTAATTGTATTTTTAAACCTCACTAGCTTGAAATATATACTGCGGAAAATCTGTTGTTAACAGGGTGTGCGGTTATTACGTAGGGTTTTCCCTGTCGACCATTTCCCGCAAATAGATGAGAACATCGAAGCCGTCAGTGCTATGAATGGTGTTATAAATGGCGTGTTTTTGGAAGTTTTTGTTGAAACTTCTCCAAATCCCTCCAGAGGCGTGCACGTCGCGGAGAAGGCACACGGAAGGTCATAGCTAGTCAAGTCATCATAAGTACCAGAGGTGATTGGTTGACCTGTCGTGAAGTACTCTGGAGGTTTGGCGCTAATAGATGCCGTTTTTGTTGTCGTCAGTCAGAAAGTTGATGCCTTGACGGTATTGTCGTCTCCTTTACCACCAAAGAACGAAGCATGGGCTTCCAGGAAGAATCTGCTTGAAAAAGACGTCCCAGATGCTATAATCTCGAACATATGGTTATTCCGGCGCCGAGTATAAATAAACTTAAAACACACACACTTTTGTTGAAAACAAAACAAAAAAAACAACAACACATTTTCTGTAGTAATTTTTCAAGTGTTGTAAAATGAATAAGAAATTCCTCTTAGCCGCCGATTATTTTTAGAACACAAACATAAAAGTTCTTTTTTTTTATTTTTCAAAAAAACATTAGTCACTTCAGCGCGCGCAAATATCGTTTTCAAATTAAAGTTTCGTAAGATATGTTAATGACTTCCCGATGCTCGACTGTAAGTAATTTGTATATGTATGCGGTTTTTTGTTGTTTTTTTGTTGTTTTTTAATTAAAGCTTCTTATTCTATAATATTTTTTATGTATCTCATAATCTGTATTGAAAATTTGAATTTTATTACACGTGGACTATCAAATTATGACAATGTATGCCCTAGAATTGAATAAACTTTCTAATTACACAATACGGGGTCATACTGATCTTTGCGTCTTTCTCTGAAATAATTATTTCCTTGTTAAAACATATTTGACCACATATTTCTGTCAATTAACTGTTCACTTTACTTCCGATTTTTGTTGTACGGAAACACATGTTTCTATTTGTGTTTTCTAATCAATTCGAATCTATAATAAGTTTAATAGGATCACCACCGGGTAAACGACTACTAGGTACTTTGGTCATGTTTTTTACCCCAAATATTTGAATGTTTCTATTGGGATTAAAATGAGCATAGTTAACTAAACAACTGGTTGTATAAATCCCTGACCTGTCTAATTCTAATTATGAGATTAGTGAATATATATGACTTTCACTACAAAATATTCCTAAACAAAAGAGCACATGTTTAAATTTATTCCTATACAAATAAAAGGTCAGAGTAGGGATCTGTCAATTGCCAAAGATACCTTTATGTTAAAAGTTTGATTAATGAATTATGTAACATGAAAATATAAGTATTGCTTTTTTTATTTTGCTAATGTAAAATGTAATATTGTGCTGGAATTTTGTCGGAGGGTCCTTATATATATAGGGGTTTAATTTGTAGTTAAATAGTTTTTTTTTCGGCGATAATGGTTCAAGAATATAATGTTTTCAAACTATATGTTCATCACCATCAGTGAATTTTTAGTTAAATGTCTGCAAAATATTTACTAACAGCTATATGATATAGCGGTTTATGAGCGTTTTCCGCGTACAGCCTCCTGGGGTGTACTAATAAGTTAGTTTTCCTTAGTTATCACGACAGCATGATCCATGTCTCTGATGTAAGCGACAGTTTACAATTATTTGTCGTTAAAAAATATTAAGGACTATTAATGGTTTATAACAACAAAAGAAGATGCATGATATTGAGAATACGGTGTTGCAACGTTCTAGTTAATGACCCGTCATAAACAGTTGGTCGCTGCGTAGTAATTGGAAAATTGTTATCAAAAATAATAAAGAATATTTGCCACTAAATTAAAGCATTTACTTATAAATTTTCATTTATGCTTTTTGTTAAAAAAAATATTGATAAAGTTATTATTTTGAAGGGTTTTCATACCAGAACTATTTATTACAGACGTACGTATGTCTAAACCTGATTACCGCGGCAGTATGACGTTGCAACGTTCTAGTTAATGACCCGTCATAAACAGTTGGTCGCTGCGTAGTAATTGGAAAATTGTTATCAAAAATAATAAAGAATATTTGCCACTAAATTAAAGCATTTACTTATAAATTTTCATTTATGCTTTTTGTTAAAAAAATATTGATAAAGTTATTATTTTGAAGGGTTTTCATACCAGAACTATTTATTACAGACGTACGTATGCCTAAACCTGATTACCGCGGCAGTATGACGTCACGGAGTAGTGATTTAAACAAAAATCAAGAATTTTTCAGAGAATTATTATCTTTACAAATTGCAGATATGAAATTAAAGAATGAAAATATTTTCATATTGTAAATGTCTGTGATGAGTGATGAGTCAGCTTAGAAAAAATCAAGGTACTATTTTTTGACCTGATTACCGCGGCAGTAAGATTTGACGGACAGTTATTAACATTGGGTCGGCATAGCCTCCCCAAAAATTGTTGAATGATGTGCATCAAAGCCAAATTGTTCTTTACTGTTTGCTTCTAATTTATATTAAATGATGTTTTTGGCCCCTTATACCATTTTGGTCATTCCATCATATATTCAAGAAATAGATATCAATTTTGAGTGCACTTTTATAGAATAATGCACAGTTTGTGTTCAAATGCTTGGGAATATAAAGCAGGAGGGCCAAATAAAAGCCCTGGATTGATTAATTACAAATCATTTGAACAAAAAACACATGCTAATATAGAAGAGAATAGATACAATATGCTGAAATACATAGAGTTAAGAAGTAATTTTCCTGGCATCATTGGTTTATTAGCATATAGTCGCCACCTTGTCCGTCTTTCCATCTGTCCTTCCCGTCTGTCTGTTGTCTTGTCCGGAGCATCACTTGAAAACCCTTGGAGATAATTTGTTTAAACCTCATACAGTGGTAGAGGTCATTGAGGGGGAGTGCAGTGTCAAAGAACCATAACTCTATTTTTCCCGGTTTTTGAATTATCTCCCCTTATAGAAAAATCTTGTCCGGGACATAACTCTAAAACTATAAGAGATATCAACATGAAACTTTGTAGGTAAATAGATGTCTATGGGTAGATGTGCAGTGCACAGAACCATAACTCTTTTTTGCCTAATTTTGGAGTTATTGCCCTTTGTTAATTTTAACACTTCCAACTTTATCCGAAACATAACTCTAAAACTTTAAGAGATATCAAGGTGAAACATTGTAGGTAGATAGATCTCATTGAGTAGAAGTGCAGTGCAAAAGAACCATAACTCTGTTAAGCCTCATTTTTGAATTATCTCCCCTTTTAGAAAAATCTTGTCCAGGACATAGCTGTAAAAGTATAAGAGATATCAACATGAAACTTTGTAGGTAGATATATCTCAATAGGTAGATGTGCAGTGCATAAGAGTCATACATCTGCCTTGCCTAATTTTGGAGTTATTGCCCTTTGTTTATTTTTACTTTTTGAACTAGAGCATCCGTGGCCGAGTGGTTAAGGTCGTTGGCTTCAAACCACTTGCCCCTCACCGCTGTTGGTTCGAATCCCGACAGGGACTTTGGATTCTTTCATGTGAGGAAGCTATCCAGCTAGCTTACGAAACATCGATGGTTCTACTCAGGTGCCCGTTCGTGCCTGAAATAATGCACGGAAGGGCACCTGGAGTCTTCCTCCACCAGTTATAAGCTGCAACGTCGCAATATGACCTATACTGTGTCAATGTGACATAAAACCCAAAAACAAACTTTTTGAACTTTGTCTGAGACATTACTCTAAAATTATATGAGATATCAACATGAAACTTTGTTGGTAGATAGATCTCATTGAGTAAAAGTGCGGTACAAAAAAAACATAACTCTGTTTTGCCCAATTTTTGAATTATCTCCCCTTTTAACAGGATCTTGTCCGGGAAATAACTCGATATCAACATGAAACTTTGTAGGTAGATGAATCTCAATGGGTAGATATGCAGTGCACAAGAACTTGAACTCTGCCTTGCCAAATTGTGTAGTTATTGCCCTTTGTTCATTTTTACATTTTGAAATTTGTCCGGGACATAACTCGGAAACCATAAGAGGTATCAACAAGAAACTTTGTAGGTTGATAGAATTCATTGATTAGAAGTGTAGTGCAAAGAACAGTAACTCTGCCTTGCCTAATTTTGGAATTATTGCACTTCCAGGGACATAACTCTGAAACTACAAGAGGTGTACTTTCCTGTGTCCAAAACCTATTCGGGGAGCATCACCCGGCTCAAACCGGGCTCTTGTTGACATCCTAATTTTCTGACATATGATGTGTAAGCATTTCTTTTTTATGCTGTGCATATATTGTGAAATAATGCACTTGGCTTCTTGAATTATCAAATGATACTTGGTAATTGGACAATATTTTCAGTGTTTTGTTGAAGAATTATAGATAACACCGTGCATATCCAGTAACGCAGGAGTGTGTGATTATCGTAAAAATAACACCGAATATGTGCAATGATATTGCCAAAACGAATAACACAGTAAGTAAATGAACCAAAATATTTTATTCTAAATCAAATTTAAAGAAATGATTTAGCGCATACGGTTGCTACTACATTATACTCAGTCATCAGTGACGTTTATTGATTAAATATACAGCATTACAATTTTTTCAGGAATTTGTTTACTTTACTTAGATCATTTGTGAGAAAGACAACCTGATTACCGTTTTGAAGGTGTCTTTTGTGTTTCGTCAAATAAATATGTACATTTAACATTTAAAAAACTTTATTTTTTCATATTCTGTATACCCAAGACATTTGTCAAACTACCAGTGTCATATAACAATAGAAGGAAGCTGGTAAAATAGGATTTAGCTACTTTTAATGGGATAACCTCCATTACTTCAGTGCTTCATTCATGATTTCGGCGTTACCTCGTAAGAATGGTCTCAATTACGTTTACCTGCTAAATTTAATGCAATATGACACTAGTACATTGGGAAATGTCTCCGGTACACTGAATATAAAAATCATAAAGTTATATGTGTACGTTATTGTAATTAAAGATATCCAAGACACTAAAAATTGCCATCAATACGCTAGTCAGGTCGTCATTTTCACAAATGATCTTGAAAAATAAACATTATCATGGAAATATATTTGTTGAGGTTTAAAGTATAATGTCTCAGAAACCGTATGCGGTAACTTATTTCTCTCAATTTGGTGTACAATAAAAAATATTTGTCCATTTACTTATCGAGGTACTCGTTTTAGCTACTATAAATTGCACAATTCTGCGTTACTTTTGCACAATTTCTGCATTATTTGCACATCCCTGCGTTACTGGATATACACAGTGGATAAACTGGGAAAAAATCATTTGCTTTCAAAAAGCTTTCCCAACAATTTAAATGTTGCTGTGTACAAGTTTGGTCTAGAGAATTGTCATTCTTACCTCGAATATTCAAAGTATAGTAGAGCTACCTACTCCTACTACTGAATGAATTCACTTGGAACTTGAAACATCACTTCACAATCATAACTGGAGGTCACTTTCCAAGGCCCATAACTACAGCATGAATTTTGACTGAAGTAACGGCCCGTTTTAAACTTTTTGGTTTAGGCCAATCCTTAAAACTATTAAAGGTATTCACTTGAAACTTAATGTATCACTTTTGGATCATAATTTAAGGTCACCATCAAAGGCCCATAATGATAACTCTAGCTTTGATTTTGACAGAATTATAACCCATTTTAAACTTAGAAAATTTTTTGGTCAAGTTTTTCATGTATCATCAATCTGTTAAAGGTGTGCATATGAAACTTAAGGTAGTACACCCCTAATGCACTATCTCCACTTTGAAGAGTATTCAAATAGGCTAGAATCACTGTAAAGTGTATTGAAACTGAGGGGCGTGGGTTCAATCCCCAGAAGCGGCAACTTTTTTTTTCTTTCTTTTTTTCTTTTTAACATTTTTTATTAATCTCTCAGATCCCTTATGGAAGAAAAAAGTGTTTCATTTTAATTATATAATTTTTGTAGGTATTTATCTACTAAATAATGCCAAATTTAATAGCAAATATGATAACAGATATTTTCAAAGGTTAATTAAATAAAAACTACACGGTAAAAGTATTTTATATTTTGCAAGACTAACCAATATACATTTAAGAAAATTTAGGCAAACTTTGAAAACAGCCCCTCATTGTGGAAAATTTTAGGAATATTTTAAAAAAGGCTTTTTACACATGGAAATGGTCAAATAAGCGTTAAAGTGGGTGGGGTAGGGTTACATTTTTATACATATTAAAAACATTTCGTTTAAAAACAATTATTTTGCTTGTTTAATTTGTTACCTAAATGTCGTTATTTGTTTCTCAACAATGAGCAATAGGAAAACATTTTTCATAATGATGATATTATAGATTATTTACAGTTTCCTCATTTCTGAAAAAAGCCCTTCTAATGGCAAAGTTTTAGTTCAGAAAAATGTCCATAACTCATAAACCACACGGTAAATTTTGTTTAAATTTTGCATACAGGTGACATTTAAGGCATATAACTGTTCTATGTTGTCAATTTTATAGTTCCTTATAGTGCCCATTAGGGGTGTACTACCTTAATACATATCTTTGGGATCATACTTAGATGTAAATTTCAAAGGCCCATAACTCTGACATAGTTTTGACTGAATTATGCCCCTATGTGAATAAAAACAAATTGTTTAAGTTTAGAAAATGCAATCTTTCAAAAACATTACTGATTATAATGACTTGAAGCTTGATACATGCTTTTTGAATTACAATATAAAGTTACTACACAAAACCCATACCTCTAGAGTGGATTTTGAATGAGATATTTAGGCTCTAAATTGTGAATTTTACAAATTCTTTCGTCAATATCCAAGACTTATAACTTAAATTGTCATGTACATTACATGTATTCTAATGTATTTTTGTGAATGAAATATTTTTCCTTGATAACTCTTACATTATCCAGTGAGGTCCTTGTTTTACTAACAAAAGCACTGAAAATAAGCAAGCGTTCTGTCCTGATACTACCTAAAATATATAGAAAGCCCAAACAATATCACTTTTTAAGGAGTCGAGTATTTATTCAGTCATCAGAGATGGCAGGCAATATGAATTAAGATGGATTTTCAGTGTACATATTTCATGACAGTAACACAATAAATGAGATGGTCAATAATGAAAATCTTGTACAGGGTAGATTCCGCCTCAATTGTAGTGTAACGCTTACATTAGCTTTAACGCAAATAACGTTACGTCATGTAGTGTAATATCGTTTTTATTAAATCGCATTATTACACTCATGTGCCACGGTTTATCGGATAAATTTGCTGCAATAAAAATGTTTTAAAAGAGTAATCCCCTTTTTATACATTTTTTCTCTCAAAAGTATTGGTTTCAGTGGAATAACTTTTGAAGAATATCAATGACTATGTTTGGCATGTGTTGTATGCCATGTTATGTTATGATTTTGATTTTCTCTGAAATCAATTCATTATAGGCAATGTTTTTTCCAATTTTTATGCAAACAAGTAACTTAAAATATCTTCTCTTGCTTATATTTCACATTTGACGGAAAAAAATCATCTTTTGTGCTATTAAAAACAATACATTTGTTATCTATTTTAAAGGCACATTTTGGCCGTGAAACCTTTACAAATTGACATCGAGCGTTTATATTGTTCCGCCTTAGCGGAGCTCTTGTTCTTTAAAGAAATATGCTTAAGGAGTTTTCGGATTAACTTTATCCAGAAACACCATGAGATACCTGATATCTGAATAAATAAATTATAGTAGGCCCCTACTTCTGTTTTAGTTTATAAAATTACTGTTTATTTCTCAGTAAAAGAAGTTTGGTGGTTGATTTTGAGTTGATTTATGCCAACGATACATCAGCTGCTTCAACTAAGATAACCGAGATCAATATAGCTCTGCTAAGTGGACGAGAAATCATTAAAGTATTAAATAAAACTGTTTCAGCAACGTCCTTGAAACTAAATGATGTATCAGGTAGGTGTTGTTGGTTTTTTTTAAATAATTTTCATAGTGTGTATCCTTCCTATTTGCTCTTTACCAGTGTCTGTTAATTACCACCTATCTAAGTTTGTTGAAAAGAAAAATAAGTATTTCCTGAAACCTAACTTTCAATTTAGCTTTTCGTACTTTAAACTATATCATTTAACCAAAAAGTTACAAAAAAAACACTTCGGATAGATATTACTTATTCTTTCATGTTACTTTGCTTTTGAAAGTGAAAGTTTGAAACATATTTTGTTGTATGAATATAACATTTTAATTTTATAACCTATACTAGTATAAGTTACTCTATCAATTGCAAATTTTCTTTCAGTAACAAACACTTCATTATCAGATGATAAATATATATGTAAAATGTTTGAAGCCCTTAGTAGAATGTGCCCATCAAATCAACATTGTTCTGTAGTGGACAGACAATCATCTTGTGTGTAAGTATAGATTTCTTGATATACCTTAGGTTACTGTATCTGTTATTTCAGCAATGATAAGATGTGCTAATAGGATTTCCAAGTTAACTCACGGATTTATTATAATCACGACCCATTATGCCTCAGAACTGCTTTTATCATATTTCTCAAAAAACTTTTAATTTTCTGTGTCCTGTTTCCAGTTTCCGGAAAATTGCTACACGTAATTGGTCAATTTTCTGAACCATCTTTTGATTCTGTTGCCTTTTGGCATTTAGTACAATCATAGTGATTTAGTATTTTGTATGAAAGTCAAAATACTTCTTTAGTTTGTACAAATTTATTTTAGTTCGATTGTGTTGGAAGCTATAAGCTTATTAAAACTCTTTCGGATCCGTTCCTGGAACCAACCAGTACTAAGCAATGAATGTAAAGTTTCTTGCTCATGGAAACAACTACTTTGTTTACATTTTGCTACTTTTGTGACAAATAATCTCACATTTAGTACTAATTTCCTCAGGTGAAAAACATGCTCAAAATATTTTTTTAAAAGTAATAAAACTCATATTTGCCGTTTCTTAAAAGGAAAACAATATTTGTATTTGAAGAATAATGTACTAATATGTCATCAATTTGCTTATTATATACGACGTGACTCAACAGTTCGCTGAAAGATTAAAAAAAAATAAGCACAGTATCATTACTTAAAGGAATAGCAAAACTATATTAACATGTATTTGAACGTTGACAACTGGAACTTTACTGGTTGTGTTTTCTATTTCAGGTTTAATGAAGCAGATGAAAGCAGTAAGTTATGAATCATATTATGAATCTTTACAAAAAGGACTGAAATTGTATGTTAAAAAGATAATAACAACATGGAGATAGTTGTATTTATAATGTTGATATAAAAACAAAGGTAACTGTTTGGTTCATAATAGGGAGAATTTAGACAAGTTTTTTGTTCGATAGGTCTAAGGAAATTTAAGTTAAAAAGATTTTGGTTTTCAATAGGTGTAAGAAAGTTTACAAGAATTATCTTATTTAAGAAATAATATATCCCAAACAGAGATTTTATCGCTCAATAAAATCACTGTTTGGTGTTCGGATGCGAAGAGTTATATCACGAGGGCGTAGCCCGAGTGATATAATGATGCGCATCCGAACGACAAACAGTGATATTATCAAATGATAAAATCACCGATTTGGATATATTATTTCGTTTCTTACACGACATCAATAAACAAATGCTGCCGTACCTGATATTAAGCTAAATTGCGCCTTATTTGTTTCCGTACTTATTTTAAGTTTGTGGATAATGATTACGTCACATGTACATGTCTAAATATAGAACAGCAAACAGTGATTTTATTGCATATTCTAACACGACCAGCATTTTTCCCCATTGAACATAGAAGAACCGAAAGTGTGTGTTATTATGTCGTTCGGATGCGCATCATTATATCACTCGGGCTACGCCCTCGTGATACAATTCCTCGCATCCGAACTCCAAACAGTGATGTTATTGAGCGATAAAATCACTGTTTTGGATACATTATTTCTTAAATAACACACACTTTCGGTTATTCTATGTTCAATAGGGAAAAATGCGGGTCGTGTTAGAATATGCAATAAAATTCACTGTTTAATTTGCTGTTCTATATTTAGACTTAGTTTGTTTGTTTGTTATTGTTGTTTTTGTTTTTTGTTTTTTTTATCTTTTTTTTTATTGGTCTTAAAAAGTTCACATGCTTGAGTTTCTATGAAAGCTTACAAAAATGATATTTTGCTCGAAAGTTCTAAGAAAATTTTCAAACAATGTTTTGTTCGATAAGTCTAAGAATAATTTTATTGTTTAATATTATACAAAAATACACCTCTTTTACATCGTACAAAAACATAGACCAACGTAGGTCCTCAAATACAATGAATTTTGAATCATTCCATATGTTTTTTTTTTTTTTTTTTTTTTTTTTTTTTTTTAAATCACGTGATCTTGTGGTCAAGTCGATAAAAATGTAGTGATGAAAATTAATAAATATTGAAATATTAGCGGATAAAAACAGTGTTGAAAGTTATTTTTGAATGGAATTATGATTATTTAGTTATTCAGTAAAAATCTATGGGGAAAGGAAAGCGTACACGGACTGAGAAAAGGAAAAAAAAGCAGTGAAGGTGACAACAATGGACAATTATTGAAGGCGGGAAGGTATAAATCTAGCGAAAATTCAAATTCTAGTACATATTCACAATCAAAGTCAGATTCAAACGATAATTCAGTGATAGTGAGCGAGGTTTTAAATCAAACTAACGGTGTATTATATAACGTAAATAATTTGGATGATAGTGTTTTTGAATACGGAAGTGAACAACCCGTGCAACAATATAAACAAATAACAATGGCGTCCAATTCAAATCGGAGTCAAACTAGCAATGATGATCTAATGGAATATATGAAAAGACTTGATGCAAAAATAACAAAACATGGATATTAAACTTCAGTCGTTGGACACACTTGAAAAGAAAGTGAGTAGTTTTGATACTGAGCTTAAAAAAAATATGGACTCAAATACATGACATAAATAAAAAGAATGATAAATGGGTTACATGTATTGAAGAAAAAACAGCAACAATGGACTTCGTGATATCACAAACAGCTAGTAAATTGTCAATGTTAGAAAAACAGAAGGAGAGCCTGCAGAACGAGGTAACATATTTACAGTCGCAATCCATGCGAAACAATTTATTGTTTACAAATATTCCTGAGGCCCCTTCAGAGAAATATGAAGACACAGAAAATATATTAAGACAATTTATGGTAAAAGAAATGAAAGTAGCTCAGGACCTCGTAGACAAAATATCATTCGAGCGAGTTCATAGAATGGGCAACAAAACCAATGGTTGCTCTCGAAACATTGTTGCCAAATTTACCCTGTTCAAGGAAAGAGAACTTGTGAGGAAACAGTGGAAAGCCCTGTCCGGTACACCATACTTTGTTAACGAACAACTCCCAAGGGAAGTAATCGACAGACGAAGGAAGCTTATACCGAGGATGAAGGAGGCGCGTGAGCAAGGTAAAACTGCATGGTTAACGTACGACACGTTATACATAGACGGCAAACCAGTTAAGGACTAGGAATTTGCGGGGGATGAACTGAAAAATTATTTCTTGGAATATAAATGGTTTAAGTAAATTTAAAAGAGACAACAACGAACTTTTGGATATAATTACTAAACATGACATCATTTTTCTGTATGAAACATTTGCGTGTAAGAACAGTGTAATTGACATTTCTGGATATAAATCCCATAATTTCTATAGACAGTTCCAACACCGAAGAGCAAAAAGATCGAGTGGCGGAGTCGCAATATATTATAAAGAAACAATATCACCAGGTATTTCTGTTGTTGAGAATAGGTTCGATACATTAATTTGGGTTAAACTCGACAAATATTTTTTCCATACCGAAAATGATATTTACTTATGTGGTGTTTATTTGTGGGGTGAGGACTCCCCAGCATATAATACTGTAAATGTGGATTTATTTGAATATATTGAAAATGATATTAACCATTTTGAATCTTTAGGAACTGTATATTTAATGGGAGACTTCAATAGTTGGTAATAAATATGATTTTATAATCTTTGATTGTATGAATAAGTCTTTTGATGACGAGTTATATGTTCCCGATAAATTTATTGACCGGGCCTCCTTAGATAAAACCTGTAATAACTACGGTGTAAAATTAATTGATCTGTGTCGATCAACAAATCTCCGTATTGTTAACGGAAGGTTGCATAATGATTTTTAATATTGGTATGTACACATACGTTTCACAAACTGGAGCATCAGTTATTGATTATGTTTTGACAAATGCAGTTAATTTTTCAAATATTACTTCTTTTGAAATACAATCTGTCAACGAATTTAGTGATCACGCTCCTGTAAGTCTATCGTTGAAAACAAACGTTTGTTTACCTGTCCGTAAAGAAAGTAGCTATGTAAAATATGTATGGGATAGTAATCTGGAAAATTCATTCAGAGCAGGATTAATCGCAAAATTACCGGAATTTAACCAACTTTTGATTGGTATTGATTGTGGTGACCGAGGTTGTGTGAACAATGTTTTAAATAACTTTACCTGCTTACTAAGGGGCGTGGCTGACCCATTTTTTGAGAAAAATTATAAACAAAAACATAACGCTTCATTCACTGATAGTTTTACCTCAAATAATGCAGACTGGTTTGATGATGAATGTAGATTGTTGAAAAACCGTTATCTAGATGCTTTGAATAATTTTAATTATTGTAAAGATGTAGAAAGTAGAGAATATTTTTGTATATGTAAAAAAGAATATAAAGATTTAACCCGTAGGAAAAAGAAATCATATATAAAGAGGAAATATTCTGAAATTGAAAAATTACGATTTAGTAAACCAAAGCAATTTTGGTCTCATTTTAAAAAAAATAAAACATCTGTTTCAGATGACATTTCTGTAGAAGATTTCAAGACATATTTTGAAAATTTATCTAACAATATTTTTGAATCAAAAAATTTAGAGTGTCAAACGTTTTGTAATGAACATGATTTTAATTCAAGTGATTGTAGGTTTGATGAGTTAGATATACCCATTACATGTGAGGAGATCCGTAAAGCTGTAAAATCCTTAAAACAAAATAAAGCTTCCGGATCAGACTGTTTATTAAATGAGTATTTTATATCGTCCATAGATATTTTATGTGGACATATATGTTATTTATTTAATATTATTTTAGAGTCAGGTTTTTTCCCAGATAAATGGACAGAGGGTGTTCAACAACAACAACAACAATCACTTTTATTAGAAGCCACGTCACAATAGTAACAATATGACTGATTAACATAAAATAAAGAGTGGGTAACATGATACATAATACAAATTCTACTTTAAACTTTTTTCATCACATGGGGACAGTAATTATATTGTCAAAACTGCTGAAATGTTGTTTATGTTTCCAAATATACATTTATGATTAACTGATAAATAGTTAGTACATGTACATACATGTATGTAATACAATATATATGTTTACTTCTATAAAAGGTGTAACAAAAGAGTAGTAGAGCATTATGATACTAAAAAAAATTAATAATTAACACATTTTGTTATTATTTCTTCTATAAATTGTATAGTTATTTATCAAATTATCATACATACTAATGAAAACTAATGCAAAGGAATATCAGGTGGCGTGAGAAAATACTAATACGTCACTACAGGTGCACGCTTTTCACGTACATAGACAATACTACGATATTGCAAATATTTACAACCGCTAAGAAAGGCTATAAATATTAAATCGTTCGTTACTAAGATAGTCAGGGAGCAATATATGAAAATGAGGAAGAACTTGAATTCATTTGGATTTAACTTAGAAAATCGTTAGGCCTGTCTTGTTCTAGCTATTAGTCTTAAAGTGTTCAATAATAGAACGTGCTAAAAATACAATATTTTTAAGAAGATCAAAATTTTCTGTTGATAATAATTCCTTAAATTTCAACACGTTTGGTCTACTGAAAAAGTAAGTTGGGATGTATCGCTTTCTTTGCAAACAGAAAAAAGGACACACTAACATATAGTGAAATTCATCACCGACTTCATTTAACATACAAAGATTGCATTTACGCGCTTCATATGGAAGATGTGAGTTGCGCCACCTTCCTATTTCAACAGGTAATTTATGAGTTCCTGTTCTAAAATGGAAAAGAGTGAACCTTAGATTATTTGGTAGTATATTTAGATATGCTTCAAATGATATATCATTTTTAAATAGCCTATAGTTATTGTGCCTGTGTTCAAAAAGGGTGACTCAGGTGACGTAAAAAATTACAGGGGAATTACTCTCCTAAGTTGTTTATCTAAACTTTTTACTACTGTATTAAATACTAGAATTGAAAATTTTTGTTCAAACAATTGCATTATATCAGACTGTCAATTTGGTTTCAGGAAAGGAAAATCAACTATAGATGCCATATTTATTTTACAAAGTGTAATTCAACACTATCTTAATAATAATAAAAGGTTATATGTAGGGTTTATTGATTTAAAATCTTGTTTTGATAGCATATGTAGAAACTCGCTTTGGTTGAAAATGTATAAGTGCGGCATTCAAGGTAAAATATTGCGAATCATTAGAGATATGTATAATAAAGTTAAGTCATGTGTAAGATGTTGTAATTGTTATTACCTACCGGCTCCTTTGTTAAAAGCGGTCTAGTAAATCACTTACCGACCGGTTAACAGGTCTGCAACTAGATACCGACCGGTTATTGTTCTATTGTTCTCTATACAATAGAAAATATGTGAAGCCGAGAAACTGGTACATTACAGTACACAATATTCACCGTAAAAGAACGCTGAATTGTGGGGGAGGCAGGGGCGGAGGGGGGGAGGGATAATGGCCACTTTGAATAGGAAAAGGGTCGATATATATTTTAAAATTTTTAAGATTAATCGAAATAAATTAGCGCATACGGCTGTAAGGACCCTCATAACTTATATTCCAAATTATTTGTGAGAAAAACGAAATGGCTACTGTTCTGGCGTTGAAGTTTTGTGTTTCGCAGATATTAATGAGTATAACAACGCACATTAAGCCTTTCTTTAAAGTTTGCTTTTCGGTATACCTAACACATTTGCCGAACTATATAGTTTCATAAGATACTAGTTTTCGGTATTTATTTCCACAACTATGTCTGAATTTGCACAATCCTGCATTATTTAAACGATTCTGCATTATGGGATATATACGACGATTATATTATTGGTGCATATCGAATCAAAGTCAACTTCTGCATCTTTCTTTCCCAAAATATTACTTTCAGTGAGAGTATAGTTCATATTAAATATAAGACCGTTTTTCTCATTTTCCCAGTTATATTTACATTTCAATTTGGATTTTGTATACTAGTTCAAAGAATACGACTTGCGCTTCCATTCTAGACCGCGTCCTTTCATGCGGTCTTATAACGGATGATGCTAATTAAGAATACACAGAAAGAAAATTCTTCCAAACATCGATGAAATTCTAAGAACAATTAAAATCAGTCATCATAAAAAAACAACAACAACAAAACCCAACTTACATAACGGTGTAACTACATGTATTACTAATATTTATTCATAGAACCCCGTCTTTTACTTTCTTTTGAAAAAATCGTATATTTTAATTATATAAGAAAAAGCCTGATCATCTATTTACCATGAAATTTATTATATATAAAGATAAAGTGTTCCGTTTTTATGATTAGGAAACATTTTTATCTTCCTCAGTATTTGTTTATATTATTAATATGTTATGTATTCATATTTTAAAATAATGATCTTACCTTTCCCTACTCGACAAGTTCTGTTTTCATTTTCTGTGACTCAACTCAACAAGTACATTACCTGACTTTATTGCATAATGAAACCCCACGAAAATCACAAGAATATTCAAATAACACCTGATTTGTGAACGAATGAATACAAGAGCGTAGCGGATGGTATCTTTGATTGGCTTTGGAATGCTTTCTTAAACATGATAAAGTACATAAGTTATATGTTTCTTGTGAGTAATATTAATAAATACTGAGCTAAAAACTGATGTATAGATAGAAAAACAAAAGAGCATTTAGGTAAGATAGTTACCGCACTCGGAATAGGTTTGCATAGTATTTACAGACCCGGTGGTCTTTTAAAAACCTCGATCGCTACGCTCTCTCGGTCTTCAAATCGCCACCCGGGTCTGTAAATACTATGCAGACCTATTCCTCGTACGGTAACTATTACTTCTGATTTCTTTAAGTATGTCGTGGGCTTAAGACAAGGGGAGGTAATTTCACCGATACTTTTCTCCATTTTTGTAGAGGATTTAGAGTTACATTTACAAAGCAACATAAGTTCTGGTTTGTTAATTGACGACATTATATTAATCTTGTTACTTTTTGCAGATGATATGGCTATTATAGGCAAAAGTCATGATGATTTACAAAATAGCCTTGATTTATTGTATACTTATTGTATAGAATGGGGATTAGAAGTCAATATTGAAAAAACCAAGATAATGATATTTAGAAAAAGGGGAAATATTTTTAACAATGAAAAATGGTTTTATAACGGACAAGAAATAGAAATTGTAAACCATTTTAATTATCTTGGCACAGTTTTCAGCTACACTGGTAATTTTTCGTTGCACAGGGAACATTTGATTGGTAAATCTTTAAAAGCTTTAAATATGTTATTGTATAATTGTAAAGATTTTGATTTTAAGCCTACATTATTGTGTCAGCTTTTTGATGCATTTGTTGGATCAATTTTATCATACTCTTCGGAGATTTGGGGCTATAATAAGTCCAAAGACATAGAACGTATACACATGAAATTTTGTAAAAGAATTTTAAATGTTAGACAAAATACATGTAACGCAAGCGTATACGGAGATTTAGGTAGATATCCTCTTTTCATAAATAGATATGTTAGAATTATAAAATTTTGGTGTAAATTGTTAGTTACAGATAATATTATCTTGCAAAAGGTTTATGAACAAAGTTTATACGATTATCATAAAGGTTGTAATAATTGGGTTACTGATGTTAAGAATATGCTTGATATGTATGGGTTTTCCGATTATTTTGTTAATATTAATAAAGTTGATTGTAAAATTTTTCCAAGATTGTTTAAACAAAGACTGTTGGATAATTATAGACAAGAATGGAATACAGCGATTGAAAACAGTTTAGTATTAGATCTTTATAAAAGTTGTAAAACAACGCTATTATATGAAAATTATTTAGATATTTTACCAAAACACTATAGATTTTTTATTACAAGAATGAGAATGTCAGCTCATTCACTGAGAATTCAAACTGGAAGGTATGGTCAAAATAGATTGCCACGTAATGAAAGATATTGCCTTTGCTGTAACAATGTTGATATAGAGGGCGAATACCATTTCATATTGATATGCCCATGTTTCTTAGAAAATAGAAAAAAGTTTATTAAAAAATACTACTATAAAAGGCCTTCCATGATAAAGTTTATTGAACTACTATGTAGCAATCAAAAGAATATATTATTTAATCTGGCAAAATATATAAAAGAGTCATTAAATTACAGAAATACTATTGTTAATTCTGTCAGATAAATTTGATTTATGATTATATATGTCTTTATTAAAGAATATATAAATTTCATTCAACATTTTTATGTATAGATTTTTTCTGAAGATATGTCTGCTATGTAAACATGTATATTTAATTATGTTTAAAACAGTTTATCCTCAACACTATAATATCAATTTTTGTTAATTTGAAATAACATTCTAGAATAATAACTAAAGTAACGTGACATTGTCTTTAAAGTTTGTTTTAATGCATTGGAAATTAGTATTGAAAATGTATTGTAATGTATTGCAATGTATTATCACACTATGTATGATTATGATTATGTACTATGTACAAGTCGAAATAAAATAATGTTCTGTTCTGTTCTGTTCTGTTGTTGTTTTGTTAATTTCCAGCTGACTTGATGCTTGTGATTGTTGTTTGTGCAATAGCTGCCCCAATCATCATTTTACTTGTTATCTGCCTGACAATACGTAAGTTACGGAACAGTAACAAGTTGAAGCATTATAACGGCATAGATAAAAGTCGCCCAGGGTTAGTCATGTTTTCATTATTACATAGCACAATTATAACCGAAACATAAATTAAATTCCAGAAATGTCGGTAAGAGAATCTAAAGTTTGCTAAACGATCTTCTTTGTATGGGCAGACTTGTTTAATTATTAGTTGAATGAACATTTTAATAAATATTGATACAAATTATACACAATTTGTTACATCTTGAAAAATTAAATGTCTGATTAACTTTTGTTTCAGATATAAGTGGTCAGGTCACAATTTCATGGGTTCCTATGGAAACCGTCTGAGTGGCCGATATTTCAAACCTGACAGTTATTTCCCAGAACATGACTACTACTGAAGTGGATCAAGTACATATGCTTGTTATGTTTGGATATATTTAACATATGACAATCTTACCCCATCTGCAATATTTTACATTACTGGTTTCTTACATTCCAATGTATTTATATTTCGAAGAAACTTGTGTGCTGTTAAAAGTGAAATCAACATAAAAGGCACATTATACCTCAGAAATAAACACATGTTTCCTTTTTTAAGAAATGGCAAATATGACTTTAATAACGTTTAAATGATAGGGTTTTTTTAAGTGGCACTGAATTTGAAGTCATTTGTCATAAAAATGTAAACAAAGTAGAATTTTGATTTCCATACAAATACTCAATCACTATATGTGTACTAATTGCAAAAAAAAAAACAGAAGCAAAATATGGTTAATAAGCAACGTTTTGAAAATAACAGGACACTGAAATATAAAAGCCTTTTGGGAAATAAAATGAAAGCATTTCTGGCTTTAATAACTCATGGTACATACTGAAAGAAGTTAAGATCAATAATCAAAAGTTGTTTTATTCTTCTTCAGTTGTTTTAATTGGCTGCTCATTTTTACAAATGTGATCTTTATTCTTTTGTTTCTAATGACAATCTCTTTTGTATCTTTTGCTCGGGTGTCAAGAAGACATATCATACAATTTGTTTGTAGTAAATGTACATTTTGTAAAATAGGGTTAAACTTTTGTGTGTGATTGACATAAGCTTTTGTATTATTTATACAAAGTTGTCTTATAATAGTGTCTTTAAATGAATGTGTGTAAAGTATACAAGAATTCAAATGTATTTCAAACAAAATGACGCAAGCTATGAAAGTTATATAAAACACGAACAGAAAAAAGGAACAAATTATAACAAACAACATACATCGAAACTATTATTATAGCCATTTATATTAACGAATATACAAAAAGTTATCAACACAATTGCATAACTTTAATATCCATATATACACATATAAAGTTTTTGAAAGGGATATTAATTGATGGTAGAAATTATATTTGTATTCTGTATAATTTGTTAAGAGGGGTATGTCTTATTTATATTTGTAATTTCTTGCTTCCCCACATGTTGTTTATTTTGCAGTTTATTTATAAATAAATCAATTCACACAAATAAAATCTTTGTATTCCATAATTCTTTTTCACAAGATCATTTTGACTTTACCATTAATTTTTATTACTTGCCTAAATATTCTTCACATCATTCATTGTATATTGTTTATATCTTATACATGTATAGTGTGTACATTAACTGCACTTTAGTTTTATTTCGTTTGTTTTAATAAGTTTTGTTCTGTACTATTCGAAGAATAATGGGGGTATCCCCTAGCGTCGGCCTCGGCGTTACACTTTGGTTAAAGTTTCACCTATAACTTCTTTATAACTCTAGCATGGATTTTCACATAATTATGACCCTTTGTGAACTAGGAAAATATCGGGTAAAACAATCTTCGAATTCACATAACATAATTATGCCATGTTACTTAGATAACAAATAAAGGTTCCTTTGCAACGTCCATAACTCTGACATGAATTTAGATTGACTTATGGCCCTTTGTAAACAAATTTCGGTCATCTTCGAAATTACTTACGCCCAATACCTGTTTCCGGGATATACATGTATAATTCATACTGATTTTCTTTTCACTAGTGTCAAACGTTCTGTTCCATGTGTGATATTTGTACATCGCATGTTCGATTTTATTTATTTATTTCACAATTTTCTATTATGCATACAATTGTTCATTATTTTTTGTTGTTTTAACTTCTATGTCGGCAGGAAAAAAGGGCTCTAAAAACGAATGTCGCACACCTGAGTGACCTGACAACACCTCTGGTTATCGAAATTATTGTGGATGCGGAGCTATTTGTTTTTACTATTTTTTTGTCCATGGACCCGATTTTGATCGATTTACAGCTTAAACTAAATTCGGGACCAACGATTCCTTCCGATTTCTATTATGCAAAGTTATAAATTGGTTTCCACTTCGGTGATTCGCAGCATTTCATATTAATGAATTAGAGCGGGAACAAATTTCACACCTCAGTCGCAGTTTTAAAGACAAGACAATAAAAAAACTTAATTCGGTAATTATTTTCTTACATTTGTATCTTCTACAGGTAATTACTAATTATTTTGTAGTACGTAGTGGGTTTTGTTTGTATTTTATTGCTTATCAAGACTGGTTACCATTGATTCTTAGTAGCTTTTTCAGTAAACCATCTCTCCAATATTTTTTCTATTTTATGTCTTTACTAATTTCAGTTTTTATTGGTGTAACATACCTTTTTTATTTAATATCTGGCCCCTCTCTCATGGACAGTGCATACGATAAGTGTAATTATGCAAATTTAAATGATTTACAATCCGGAATAAAGAACAATAGTAATGTAAATAGAACATGACTTGTGCGTAGGAATGATTTGGCAATGTCTTTGTAACATGCGCATATTTCTTAGCACGGAGATTCTTAATTGCTGCATTGCAGCAACATTTGTACTTGTATTACAAAGATCTTTCTCATTGGAAAACATAGCAAGTAAATATTGTTGATTTTAAGAAGTATGATAATCATTCCTTCTTCTCGCGTGTATGAGAAAATATTACAAATATAAACAAATATAAAGAACTTATAATATATTATTTACTTTTAAAGAAGTTCAACGAGCAAAGTAAATAGTACAAAACTATTATATTTTGTTTGTTTTTTGTTGTTTTTTGTGGAGGGACATGTGAATAGCCGGACTTAAGAATAAATTTGAATGCAATACACAGACCACTTAGTCGAATGTCAAGGTCACAACGTGGTATATCTCATACTAGTATATCTTAATTGAACTTGTTTGGTCAGTAACTACTGCATGTATTGTTAAATTACAACATGTATACGACAAGTATTAGTAGAATACGTTGCGTAATAACGTCACAGGTAAAGGTCACATCAGGTGTGATCACAGCAAGTGACTGAATTAGTGCATTTCAAATATATTCTAAAAGCAGTTTTAACTTTCAACTTATTTCCGAAACCCTATACATTTCTACATAGTATTGTAGTATTTATATACTTTCCGTATATACTATTTTATATCTGGAGAGGAAAGACATATTTATCTTTAAAGCTGCATGCCTCCAGATGACCTAAAGTATTCCAAGAAAATTAAACTTGGAAAACCATACTAAAACTTTGAGAAAAGTAAACAAATTAAAGATTCAATTGATAATTTATATCTTATGTGCAATTAATGACTGTATTTCATAGTATTTATCACCATATTTCTACTGCGTTACTAACGCAGTAGGGGCTATTTATGCATATTTTGACCTCTTTTTGGTAATTTACGTGGATTTTAAGTGCCGATTGTAATGTGTCAAGTACTTTCTTTGTTCATTTCACAATATTATACCTTTAAATACATTTTCAAAATTTTCATGAAAATTAGGATGAATCTGGAGGCGTGCTGCTTTCAAACTTTTCATCAATTAATATAAATATACATGTAGTTTCTTGCAACATACAAAACTGAAATGAACAAAAAGAACTCCAATAATGCATGTTTGTATTGCTTGTGAGATGGTACGTCTTTAAAACTTAGATATTTATGACTACTAGAAATAATTATGTTCTAAATGTTGCAAGCTGACCTTTCTTCAGATTCAAATATTTAATATTACTTCCTCTCCTCCGAATAATTTATTTTTGGATGCCTGAACATGAGACTTAAATTGTTTTTAAATGTTGAAACACTTGATAATATTAAGTGGTGTCAGTATTGCGCATTGAGGTAGTTTTCAGTAAATCGAAATTTAGAGTTTTTGACAATGTAACAGTCAGTGTGGTCGACCCTGTTCATGAACAACTTAGTGGGTAATGCTAGCCACCCGCTTAAGAAAACCTAAACATTTAAACATGAAAAACGGTGTTTATCTTAGGATCTATATCATGTAGAAGATATATTGGTAGAAATATTTTCAATGTATGAATTGGGAAATATTTTTTTATTGAATTGTTAATGTATATAAACATTTCTTTGATGACATGAAAGAACTATCAGAGTAGGATCGAATATACCGAGATATAGGACCATTTATTATGTTCGTTACTACTTTTCAAGTGTAGGATTTTTACCATATAAGTTTTAGCTTTCTTTGATAAGGGTTTTAGAAGAAGATAAAAACAGAACGGTTTAATTGTATCCTTTATTGAAACAAAGGGATTATATCAATGCCTGGAGTTTGAAACATCTTAATTTCAATAAAAGGTGGCACAGGAAGTTGTGTTCGACTACCGTACAAGGCACATTTCTTCAATGCACAGGGACTCTCCTTCCATAGGTACCTGAAATGGGTATAAAAAATCGTACTATTTCTAACTTTATGTATATCCGAAATCTATAAAAAAAAAAGAAAAGAAAAGAGTCAAATTCGAGACTTAGAATGAAAAGAATTTACTTATTTTATTTTCCATTTAATTAAATATCATCAATCTGAGACATGCATGACATGAAAAATGTGAATGTAAATGTCATTCGAATGATGATTATTACGATAAAAAAAATCTATTCTTTTATGCTTCACATTATTACCATATGAAACAAACAGGTCAGCTAAGTGCATTATCAATGATTATTATACGGTATGTGCAAATATTTTTTTTAAAAAGGGAATGGCTATAAAATTATGACATTTAAGTTAGAATTGACTTCAATAAACCAAATAAAATCAGGAAAATTTCTTCTCTCCTCAATGTAGTTCAACAGTATTATCAATTTTCTTTCTATTAGCACGTGAGCATGAAAATATATTGATTTTTTGCGTTGAAGTATTATTAATTATACGCGGTAAATCGTTCAAATGTTTTGTAATTAATTTGGCTTCCATGATTATATTAATATGCATTTGATCACGAACAGTGCACTCAAAATTGATACCTATTTCCAAAGTAAACGAAATGGTGGAAAAAAACAAGCAATTCATTCTGCGATATTTATTAATCACTTATAAAAAAATTACCTTAAATAAAAAAGTAGGCAATAGTTAAACATAAAAAATAGCTTTACCTTACACCAGTAATATGATTTTTTCCATGGCAACCAGAAGCATCTATTTGAATGGAAGATGTTTCTGACAGTTTGATAGAGGCAACAGACCATGCTGCTGAATTACTGCATTCGCTAGTAGTACTTGCACAGCAAATCTTTCAACAAGAAGTAATTATTGTTGTATATATATGTCATAATCTTATCAAATTTCTATTCTTATTATATATTTAGATAAAATGAAAGAACACGAAACCATAGTGTACATTATGAATGCATTGTTGCTGTCGCGTCGTTGGTATTGATAGATCATTTTTCTGATTTTCTATTTAAATAATAATATTTTTAACCACAAATATTGACATGCGCTCTTCTGATAACAAATGTGTTTTTCTTTTTCTTATTGTATATATTAATCTGATAACTAGAATAAGACATGTAAGAGATCTATGCATTGTTTACTTATTGTAGGAAAATACTTATATGCACTATATCAATTCTATACAAAACACTTAACCGTATGACCTTTTTTGGTTTAAACACTCTGTGTAAAAGTATCTTTTTCCACTGTTATATAAGATTACTAGCTTTACGACTTCTTTCAATGTACAGACCATACCTTAAAAGATATTAAACTAATTACCTCGAAACCGTTGTTATTGTTAACTTGTAAAAGTCCAGTCCCATTATCAAAAGTGATCCTTAGTGTGTGTTGACCATTGTTCATATTATACTCGGTAGGAAATGGACCTTGGAATACAACATTTTTGTCACCATAGGCAACATTCATGGCTCCCAGAACTAGACGAGATGCTACATCTTGTTTATATGTAGGATGAATACTGGATTATAATATGATTTTTAAATATAATACCAATGTTTATTAAAGAAAAAAGCCAAGTACACGATTAAATAAAACACGTGGGATTTTTTTTTTAACACATTTTTATCTTCTATGAAATGATGTGCGCGCGCTAACCTAATAGTACTGCAGTTCTAAATAATTTAGCTGGCTAGTCATACCTTGAAAATTTGATTTTCATAACAAGTTCATTTTGCAAGTTTTAACATTACAATTATGTACTTTTTCTTAGATCAAATTTAAGTTGAAGCTTTGTTTAAATTACAATCATCATTGAGTACCACAATCAATATTCTTAATTTGGTTGGGTTGAAAGAAAAAGTTGAAGGTTAATCACTTTGGATATAAACATCTTAGAATTATTATTGTGATACGTAACGAGGACTAAAGTCCTACTTACGCCCCGGATGGAGAATTAAAGTCTGGCAAATCAATTGCAACAGCCATAAATGTATCCGGCATATTTGAATTTGGCACATAGCCAATGTCTGTCGTCTGCGCCCATCTTGTCGGCGGGAAACCTCCAACTACATTACCAGCTCTGTTCGGTGCCAGCTTTAAGTAAGCAAATTATGATAGCGTTAAGATTCTTAATACTTTTATCACAAAGAAACAAAGATTTACGTTGTTTTGACGTGTAGGATAAATCATTTAGAAGTTGTGTATCTATATTACATTTTAATAAAGGCATGATCGGTAAAAATCAATAAATACTGAAATGTATATCCTATTTATAGCGACTGAGACATATAAAAAGTTGCAGAAAATGTTTATAGGGGTATGCTTTGGTTACATACAAACATATAGCAGAATTTAATTCAAATATAAAATTTATAGCAGATTAAAAACTACATAATATAATTTTTTTAAACTTTGCATCATCTAAAAAATATGAACAGAAACAATTTAAACTTAAGGAAATCAGGGGTTACCGACCTCTTTTTTAAGTTACCTGCCCATTTATTTGAACCTTTTTCTGATTTCAAGGACAAATAATTTTTCCATCAAGGTTAGCAATGACGTACTTTTTCTGCATTTCATGAAGTAAACTTCAATTTGAGTGTTTGTGCTAAATCTCAATAATAGTTATCGAATACTGTAGTCTGTCTGATTTTTCTTCTTTGCAGAAAGTTATGCCAATTATTTTTAAATTACTAATTTTAAAGACTTTTCATAAACAAATCTAAAAACAATAAATAAAAATCTATCTATTGCATAAATTGTATCAACATCCAAAGTTTTTCAATGAGTTTGTTATTTATTTTCTAAATCACATCTACACTTATCGCATTGATGTGATTAAGAAAACAAATAACGAACTCTTTGAAAAAGATGGGTGTAACCCATTTAAACGTTGGACACTTTTAGCAAAATATAGTTATATATAAAGGCTTTTATAGAACTGAATAAAGAAAGAACAAATCAATGCTATAATGTATTTTTTATTCTATTATCTTATATGACTTTATCACACACCCGTGCCGATTTTGCGACTCCGTAAAAATGGTATTGCACGGCCGTGCATATATTTTGACGTGACGTCATTAACGTTATACAAACATAGTGTAAAGACGCGCTAAATGTTAGCGTTATACTATAGGCGCGTCAATAAAAAAATTACTCTTATTTCACTTTAAGCGGTCTTTATTTTGGGTATGTGATAAATAGAATATTAAATTCGTGTAAGTTCATTACTGAATTTATTGCACTCGTTGAATTAAATAATATTATGCTCGCCAGAGGCTCGCATAATAAAATTTTATTCAACTCGTGCAATAACTTCAGTATTGAACTTACACTCATTCAATATCCTCTATTTAAGAAACCGCAACGTACGTCTCCAGAATTTATATTTTTTTAAACTTACCTGAACGAATCCAAACGGGAAATGATCACTTGTTTCACCGTCTGATCCAGCATGGAATTTCTTCCGCCAGTCGTCGATCATGGCGGGAAACTGACATGCATATAGGTCAGGTCGGCCTGCGTTTGATTCACCTAATGAATGATATTTATATAATGTTTTTCTTTGTAACATAAACCTGTGATGATCTACGTTTGTTTGTTTGCAAGCAACATTGAATAAAATGATGTTTATTTGGTTATGTTCAAAAACAGAGTCTCTAAAGAAAACCCAAAAACGACGAAATTGGAAATGTTGCCGAGTCGGTTTAAGTTACCGTCCACACCCCCAAACACCGACTTAATTAAGCAGAATTCAACATTTAAACACAAAAATGGTGAAAATTTGAATTTAGAAACTTCCGCTGTAAGTTTCCGTTGTATATTTCTGATTAAATATAAAAAGTGAACATTACTGAAATCTACCGTCGTATTGAATGTTTATGTGAATCAGTTGTAATTTATATTTGAGAATGTGTTGTCATTTTCATAAATAAACATAAAATCATTATGAAAACGGAATAACGACTAGCTAGTGAGTAAGAAAGCTTTTTGTTCTTAAGGATTTCTTGATGTCAAATTTGCTTTATCACAGTATCAAATAACAACACTTATATACATGTAGGATATTTGTTATATATATTTGCATAACTAAATAACTAATACCATAAGCAAAAGAGTAACGGTTTTTGCATCTACTGTACCTACCTCTCAAATAAGCCATGCAATAAAAAAAAAACAGAACAAATACAAGTGTTGTAAATAGGAGACCAACAAAATCCCTCCCGGACAATATCCTCCCGTCCAAAAATGGCAAAGCGGACAAAAGCCCTCTCGTGAAAATGACAGGGCGGATAAAAGCCCTCCCGTGAAAATGACTGGGCGGACAAAAGCCCTCCCGTGAAAATAACATGGCGGACACAAGCCCTTCCGTAACAAAAATATATATGTTAATACCTTTTATTTTTTTAATGCACTCAACATGTTAATATTGTAACATTTTATATTCTATTGTTGTTTCCAATTGGATGAACTAGAACCACCTTTCATTCAGAATATACCTTTCTGAAATGTTTACGAGGTAACTTTTAACACGAATGTCGTTCAAAACAAAGTCAGTTTTAAAAGTAATTTACTTGTTTCAAGACAAACTATAAATGTTTTGGACTTTAAATTTTAGTTAATTTAGACTTCTTTTCATCATTTATTACTTTTTATTATTTCATATGGGAGTTATCATTTCAAAATTACGTGATTAAATAGGCACTTACAGATTTTAGCATTTATTATTCAGATGCATGTCAGGAATGTGCTCAAGCTCGTGCAATCACGCTTATGTAATGGAAAACAAACATATTCATGATTACAATTTTAATATGTTGAGTGCATTGAAAGGAAAAAAAAAGTATATAACATACATATGTGTCTTTGCTTTGGGAGGGCTTTTGTCCGCCCTGTCATTTTCACGGGAGGGCATTTGTCCGCCCTGTCATTTTCATGGAGTGCTTATGTCCGCCCTGTCGTTTTCACGGGAGGGCTTTTGTCCATCTTGTCATTTTTGGACGGAAGGGCTTTTGTCCGGGAGGGCTTTTGTTCTACACTCGTTGTTAATGCATTGCAAAAGTTACTTTACCCGTGTGTAATATATGAAATGCGCTACAATAATATTATATAAAAAAAATAAAAATGTCAGCTTTATTTACTTGGATGTACATGGAAAGATAAAATCTAGTATATTTTGGTCCCTGACTAGATATTTTGTAATAGAAAGACATATATTTTTTGTCTCGGCATTTTGGTGTATCGTTTCTAATAGCTTTCCTTAAAGAGTAGTAAACAGTAATTATTCACGAGGATTACTCCTTAAGAAGTAGTAAAACAGTAATTATTCGCGTAAATTACTCCTTACGAAGGCGTAAAACCGTAATAATTCAAGTAAATTTCTCCTTAAGAAGTAGTAAAGCAGTAATTATTTAAGTGAATTACGTTGCTTACTTACCTTGGTACCAGATGGCGCCTTTTATTGTCATTGACAGGTAAGGATGTATCATAGAGTTCCAGAGCACACCTTTCTCTGTTGGCCAATGCTTATTCCTACAGATAGATACAAATGTAATGTCAGTGCTCTTTTTTCCAATTCTTCACAGAAATCAATTACTTTTTCAGCTGTACTTATATGTTTTATCTTTTAGAAAATAACCGGGATTACTTTATCAGTTTCAAATTTGGCCACATACTACGAGTATAATATACTTATTAATTTAAATTACTATATAATATTTTAATTTGATGTGGTTTCTTTGCTACAATGTAGTGAAATCATACGAATGAAACGTAATGGTCAAATTGAAACATTAATAGATTGGGCATGTTTTTTCTCTACAAATTTGAATACGCACGGCGTAATGGTTGATGTCGTTGGGCAAGCTTTGACAGCATCCGGGCCACTCCATACTTCTATTGTAGTACCGCCCCAATCTGATTCAATTACTCCGATTGGATACTTCAAATGCTTTTGAAGATCACGTGCAAACATGAAGCATAGGGCCGAAAACTCATTTATTATACCTAAAAATACAGCAACATTTCTATTATTTTCATTTGTTTTACTTCTTAAAGGTATTTACGTTAACGAGCGTCGTATCTTGTTAAGTAAATAAATGTCAGTACAAAAGGGAAGATATTTGAAAAGAATATATATATTTTAATATCAAGGATATTCATAGATAAATTATCACTGTAATATCAAAGGGCATGTATGCAGTCCCCTTCGATTTTAGGCGCTTTTAATCGTAACAGAAATTGTATAAAACATAGAATTCCGTTAATGAAACTTAGAAAAAACACCTTTAATGGGATATATCCACGACCGTTTTAATGAGACATCGTCAAGTGGCACATTAGATTGTTTTAAATCAGAGGATATCATCCGAATATCACCGTATTGTATAGAGTCGTCGATTTCATGTGTACTGTTGAACACCTATAATACAAATTAAACAAATTGTTGCCGTTATCTATTTTAGAATCTTCGGTTCTATTCTTTGTCAATTTTACCGACTCTGTCCTCTTCAAAACAAAAGTAGTGTGATTAATAAGGTATTGTTAAATAATGTATTTATTAAAATTGTAAAACTATCTCATCGAATGTCAGAAACTGATAAATAATTTTATCTAATAGACTAATTTTGATTTGCTAAACGTTCAAGAATGACTCAGCACCAAGAATTCGGACCGGTTCTAACTGTGGTCGTTACAATGTTTCCTCACATACATAAAATACTGTTCAGTTCAGAAAATGATCACGTGATTGTTTTCTTTAATGTGTATGAACATGTATAGTACTTAAACCTAAAACCTAAAAGGAGTCATCGTTAATATGACGTTTACCTTTCGCATTGTAAACTGCATATTACTTTGTCCAGAGCACACCCACACATCCCCGAACATGACGTCAACAAATGAGAGAAACCCCTCACTAGATTTTACTTGAATCTCGTGCGGCCCTGGGTTACTCTCTGCTGGAAGCTTAACTTTCCAAAATCCAACTGTGTCTATAATATATAAGATTTACATCATATCTTTTTTGTATTATTCAACTGCTATTTTGCCGTTGTTTTGTCGTTATCTGCGTCTACTTACAAAATAATTAAATATTATGTAATATCGATCTTAAAATGAAACATGCAATAATAAAATGCCAATATAAATTTCCTAAAAAAATGAATTCTTACTATTTTTGGTACTTTTCTGAACCGTCGCTTCTTGTATTTGAACGCCGTTCATCAAAATGGTTACTGTATCACCTATTACGTCAGCATATCCCCACAAAATTGCTCGAGCAGGTGCACGCTGTAACACCATGTGGTTACTGTAGTAGTTTGGCACCCGCAATGTACCATGAACACCTGATGATGGTCAATGTTATAATATAAAATAAGAACATATTTGTTTACTTGATTTTTAGAAATCAAAATAAAACTAATTAAGACAACATGACATTAACTGCTAATAATAACAGCTCCTATACCATGGACCTACCATACGCCGCTCACCGGTGCCGCCGACAAGATTTTATCTATTAAATACATTTATGATTTTGAGAGATATTATATTTCATAAAACATCATAAGGCCACTGTCAGACAAGCCTTGATTAAGCAATCTGTATTCAGTAGGTGTAGATATGTAGACATATACAGTAGATATAATTCCCCATTTTAAAAGTGTTAATGCGTTCTGCAATTTCTTTTGGATTTTTGATAATTTTCAATATCTTAGTGTTTTTTTTCTTTTCATCATCTAGCTTTGTCAGTGTAGAGAAATCTCTTTTTGACAATGTTTCTCCTTTTTGATTTTCTCTTGTTAATACACCAAACTTGCTTTCGAAATCGACACGTTGGTTGTAGCTAAAAGTCGAGTTTTGCTTTCCTTTTATTTTGGTAAGGAGAACTTGAAAATGCCTAATCAGCTTTCTAAATATAGATCATGTTAATTAACTGTAAAAAAATATGTACGGTACTTTAATCTTAAACAGAATTTTAACACTAAAACAGGAAAACTTGAATTGATGTGTTCATATGGCGGTGGTCGTGAAGCCTTTTATGTGTCACGTTCATGCTATTCAATAGACCCTTCTTAATATAACCTCATACCAATAAAACCCATATGCGATTTTTTCTGATTTGTAGGTATGTGTTATTATTATTATACAAAATACTCTCAACATTTTTTCATTGTATTACAGACCTTCCATTATAGACCAGTTTACATAAAAAAATATTAAGTAAGAAAAAATATTTTCAGAATATTGACAGGGTAAGAAGTTAATAACAACAGTAAGTTGAAGTATTTTGAAAGCATTTTGTAGCCGCCACATCCACAATTGTGAAATTTATCAAATTCTGTTTCCATCAAGAGTGTATAAATATTTTTAAAAAAGTGTACATGTACACAAAGCGTTGAACATTCATTTTGAATGAAATTGACGATAAGTAAAGTGAAGTGTTTTCTTACCTTGGAAATAGAGCGAAATCATAATAAAAACAGCTATATTGACCATCTCTGATTATCTTAGAATGACTGTTAGAAATTAAATGACATAACAGTGAAGAAAAATTGTGCCTTATATACACCGTACTTGTCGTATAACGGAGGAAGAACTCACGGATGTTACATACTTTTAATATACAAATACAAACACACATGTGAACGAGTGGAATACCAAAGTCGAACTCTTCTGCCTGGACATTTGAGAATAGTATATATAAAGACAACCTGTCATAAGGACATTTTATAATGTATATAAATACACGCGTTTTAGAGTTACATATATAAATCATCTTGACATAAGCTAGTCCGCATGCATCCTGAACTATAATACTCATAAATCATGTCATGTTCCATAGTGCACATTATGAAATAAAAACCTTAATATATGTATATACATTTTTGACTTGTCATTCTTTTTGAATATAGCATGTATGACTAATTAGCCTGTGCAACCAGCTATACGACATACTCCCTGCAATCTTGTTGTTGTTTTTTGAGGTTGTGGTTATTCATAAATCATGTATATTAATACACTCAACATGAAAAGTAAGGCAACAAATTCATAACAACTCTCTTTATAAAGACGAATGTATATGTTGAATTTACAACGGCAATACACTGGCAATAATCTTATTACAGTAAAGCAACATAAAAACATTGACCTTGACATTCATTTTTTTCGGGCGAATCTACAATGCTTCACTATTTCATTTTTATTTGTTTGGGTCGTCAAACCAAACAAATAATGGACGCGAAATTTCAGACCCTGATGTTCTTATTTCCGAATACCGAAAGTAGTCCAAACTCCTCGAAGCGGTTACTTCCCTTCATATGTACATTGATGCCGAAAAATTAAGGGGAGATCACTGCGTAGATTTCAAATGACAGGCGCATTAATTTTCGTAACGAAAAAAGTAGTTCCCAATTGGTCGAAGATTTCTAATATTGTATTATTCTTTTCGATATACATGCTTATATTCAGCTCCATGATTAATTACTTCAGAGTTAAACAACAGGTTTATCGTGAAAAAATATATCGAAATTAATAAGGGTTACAAACTCTAATTAAGAAAAACATGGTAGTCTTCAGGCTGTTATCTTATAACAACTCCCCGTGGTCGAGGGGTTTACACGTTCGCTTTAGAAGCGAGAGGTCTGAAGTTCACATCCCAGTTCAGGCAACTCATGTTGTTGTTTTTTTTGTTTTTTTTTTAATTTTTATTATTATTATCATTATTATTATTATTGTTTAAGGCAAATAAACATTGAATTGAATATCTGTGTTGCAATTAATCTTATTGCCAATTTACTACAGAATTTGGTGACACTTTACAAACAAATAGGTTTATAATCTCACAATATTACCTTTCTGACATTCTGAGACCCAAACAAATTCAGCGCCTTCTGTACTTTGATTTCTTGTTGTAGATGAAAAGTGTAGCTTGTGTAGCAATCTTTTTTGATCAGTTAATCAAACAAGATGATTGTCCAAAGAAAAGTAGCTTTACTAATATATATTATTTTGTCGACCAATAAAACGTGATTTCACAAACGTGCTTTATTACACTGACTAATGAAGAGTGTAATAAGACTAATGAAAAGTTATTTTACAATTATATATTTACTGACCTTTTTAACGTGTTTCACCGATATATTTCAACGTATTTCAACGTATTTCTTAGAGCAATTTATTCAGATGTGACAGCACTTTGTTCCCATCCTAGCTGATTGGACGTCAAGCTCGAATACTTAATTGTCATTATGCATTGCCATATTGATTGATTTTCGGACATCTCACATATTATAAAGTCATTCCAGCCATTTAAATAATTCTCATCAGTGCTTCACACTTTCTATTCCGTTTTTATTATATGAGGAGTGGCGTTTTTGGTTTGTTTTGTTGTTGTTCTTTTTTATTCGTTGTTTTTGTTCGTGTTTGTGTGTTGTTGTTTTTTGGACCATTGATTTCAATTTGTTGTCAGTGCAGCTGTATCTTTTATTATATCTTATGAACAGCTTTTACCAAAAAATACTGTATTCACAGGAAAAATAATTTATTCTTTTATAAAAGTTTTTAAAAACCGTCGTAGATAATAGAAAAATAAACACGAATCATACTTGATTTTCAAGCCATAGGCGAAAGATATATATTCAATAAAGCAAAGCAATTCATAAGCTTTCATAAGTAAAACACATTTTAATTCCAGTAAGTATACACAACATATCTATTCAGGTGCAAAAACAAAACACGTTTATTCAAATTTGGTTGTAAAAAACAATAACGTATAAAAGGTCGTTGCTTCCAAGAACAAAACTATGGAAGCACTGGAGGGCCCTTTTGACTTCTGGCTTAATGACTTTTGACTTGAGAGTTATGACTTTTGACTTGGGAGTTTTGACTTTTGACTTGGGAGTTTTGACTTTTAACTCAAGACTTACTACTTCTTAGTTGTGAAATTAATTAATTTAACAACACTTTAAGAGAGCACGTGAGTAATGAGCGGTGATGGCTGTGTTGTGCCAAAATATGAAATTCGTGTTTGCGTGTTGTTTTCTGTGCACTCTGTTGAAGATAACAGCTGGTGTGGTCCCAGCTTACCTGCCTTTGTCGTCTCCGAATGTTGATAAAGCATCACTCATTGAAGAATATTTCAAAGAAGGTTGTAAATACAGTGAAATTCTTGGAATTTTGCTACTTAAGCATGGTATTTTGTTGTCACTGCGTCAGCTGAAAAGAATCTTGAAGAAGTTGAACCTGAAACGTCGAGGTGTACATTTGCAATCGCAGTTGAAAAACGTTGTTCGTGTAATTGGTACGGAAATGCATTATAGTGGACAGTCTTTCGGTTATCGGACTATATGGCGCCGGCTGAAAGTGAATCATAATATGGATGTAATCCATAAAGATGTTATGGACATAATGAAGGTGATAGATCCAAATGGTGTTGGAATGAGAAAAGCACATCGACTTAAAAGACGTTTCTATTGTGCAAAAGGGCCAAACAATATTTGGCATTTAGATGGTTATGATAAGTTGAAACCATTCGGATTTTGTATACACGGAGCGGTAGATGGTTTTAGCAGGAAAGTTATCTGGTTAGAAGTTTTTGACACTAACAACGATCCAAAACTGATTGCGATATATTATTTCGATGCATTGAAGCGCATTGAAAAAACACCTCGCATACTTCGTTGCGATGCTGGAACAGAAAACAGTGTTGTTTGTCTTCTACAGCAGTTCTTTCGGAATGAAGCAACCGACCACTTTGCTGGTAGTCGCAGCGTTATTGTTGGAAGAAGCACTTCTAACCAGCGCATTGAAAGATGGGGTACGCTACGTCAACAAGGAGTACAGTGGTGGATTTACTCTTTTAAGGATTTGCGCGATTCTGGGCGTTTCAATGAACTCGACCAGATACATTGTGGAAATTTGAAATTTTGTTTTACGAACCTAATACAAACACACCTGGATAGAATTGCTCAACAGTGGAATGTACATGAAATTAGACCTCAGCACAATTCCGACGCACATTACGGAAAACCTGACATTATGTATTTTTTACCTGAAACGTTTGGCGCGCTTGATTATGGTACTGTGGTTGACAAACGTGATGTGACCTGTTGTAAAGATATGTATTCAGTTCCAAGGAGAAAGTTTGACGAATTCAGCGAATTGGCTTATCTGTTAAAGCCCGACCTCCAAATGCCAGTAGATGCCGATTCAGCATTGAATTTGTTCCTGGAGTTGAATGATTTAGTGGCAAACTCGTATGAAGACTGAAGTCTTTTTAAGCCATAAAATTGTTTTGTGAGAGAACAAATGATCAACACGACCCATCATTATCATCATCATCTACATCATCATGATTATCATTATAAGTATGTTGACTGCAATGATGATTGTCAGGATGCTGCTCCTCATGATGAAGGTCGACTTTATAATTTAAATAATTATGTTGTTGATGATAAGCAGAAGTTGATTTCGATGATAATGATTATAATCATGACGATGATGATAACTATATTAAGGATGATGATCGTGATGATGTTGTAAACTTTAGTATAATATATTTTATAGTTCATAACGTAAGTGGCATATGTTTATTCTTATGTTTGACAGTCAATTATAACAAACGAATATGTCACGAAAGTCAAATGTTATTTCTACGTTCAAATACATCATGGCTCACAAAGGTCTGTTTGTAACCGTTAACGTTTCAGTCAAGAAAAACTACGGACAAGTGTAGACCGAATTAGTCTGTGCAGGTGTGCAGACTTACTAGGGCCTATATACTTAACTTTCAGTTAATTAGAATCTGGCTTTTAAAATAAATTTACTGCCTCACGTTCATCTTTGTAGATCAAACGCCCTAGTATGAAACATGCACAGGATATCTAGCCAGTTCTACCGTATTCTTCCTAGTAATCGCCCAGAGCGCTTAGAAAATTGTGAAAGGTGGGCGCTTATTAGGAGTCAGGTCTTACAAAAGTATACAATATGTAAGAGTCACAGCTATGCAAATTCTGTTGATTTCTCGTATTTAAAGTGGTCCCGTTTACTGACAAATCACTACAATTGGTTTGAAATGTGAATATTCACAGTCTGTCCTTGTACAGTGAAATTTTCTAGGCCCGCGGACATGCATAAACATTTAAAATGTCGATTGTGGTCAGCTGATTTTTTTTTCTTTTAAGACAATTTATCCTGGGCGCTTAACCATTTACAAATGGAAAAGAAGGGATGGGCGCTTATAGAAGCATTGGCTCTTATTAGGGCGAATAGGTAGTTATCCGTGGTAAGGTCAGCTTCAAGAATTTCCAGGATGACGCATTTGTAAAGCTAAGGACATTTTAAACGATATTGCAATGACACTTCGTGCACAATGGTCCGACTTGTGACTTCGTATTTCTGACTAGAGACTTCCTATTTGTGACTTTTGACTTCTTACTTATGACTTCCTACTTGTGACTTTTGACTTCCTACTTGTTAGTAGTGACTTCAAACATTTGTTGTCTTGACTTTTACGTATCGACCTCTATTACAAATGCATGGTTAATATATGGTTTGGGGATTGGCAAAGGAACAGATATTCAACAGCCATGAAGCGTATCATAAAATGCAACTAAAATATAATAATCGAGGGCTTGGTGCAAAACAGTTGTATCTCCTTCTTTATCTAGTTTAAGTTACAACCGTTTCGCAATAAGCCCTCAAAATGGATTAAACAACTAGACTTTTTCTAGCCCTAGTATAAAGCGCCCGTGTAGGGCAAGGTCATGCACCAACACTATGAAAACTAGCACAACATGACAATATCTTTTTAAAAATGTTAGTATTTATTATAATATTGATTTAAAAAAGAACTTTTATTTAACA